AAAAAAAAAAAAAAAAAAAAAAAAAAAAAAAAAGAAAAATGTAATTTAATTAAAATGCTTTCAGACTTTTTAAGAGCTGCCCAGAACAGTAATGGAATTTTGTGCATTTAAAAAATATAAATGTAGGTTGGAACAGGCTACTTTTTAAGAGCTGCTTAGAACAGTAATGGACTTTTGTGCATTTTAAAAATGTTAATATAGATTGGAACAGGCTATGAAGCTGCTTCTTGACTCTCGAGTTACTGTTTTTGCATAAGAATGTGCAAATGGCCACAGCATTCTGTAAGAAAAATAGCAGCTCTTACGGTGAGATTTTTTTGAGGAGACTGCAGTTTTTTGGGACAGTAATTTGAGAACTGGTAACAAAGTGGTGAAAAGGAACGCTAACTTTAGGGAATGAGGAACTATTAAAGTACTAGTCCAGCCATATTGAAAAAAGGGCAACATGGTTAAATAGTGCCCCAGTGGTTAAGTTCGATTTTTCTATAGCTGTTTCTTAAATTGTGACTGAGTAAACTGTTTCAGCATCCATCAGTGCTTGACGGCCTTGAACATTCTCTTTGGAATGGCTCTTAGTTTTGTCCAAAAAGGGACTTTTGAAATAATACTTTATTTAAAAATAAAAGATTTCTTGGAGTGTAGTTTACATACAGTAGAATCACCCTTTTAGAATGTATACTTTGATTTTTTTTTAAAAACTAACAAATAGAATAAATCCATCACCTCCACCCCAGCCCTGACAGTCACTGATTTGATTGCTGTTTTTTTCTTCTCCATTATTTCCTAAATAGAACCTAGTCCTTGTAGCCTTTTGTGTCTGGCTTCTTCAAGTTACTATGGTAAGATTTACACATGGAGTAAATTGCATGGTAGATGTGCATAGTTCAGTCACATTGCAGATGTGCATAGTTCAGTGCCTTTTGATTGGCGAGTTTTACTGTGGTGTGGGTGTACCATTGTTTATTGTTTTGCTCTTGTTAGTATTGCTTTTTGCTTGAAGGGGAAGGTAACACATTTTTAGTGTTTTTATATACCAGGCTTTTAGCCTCGGCCCTGTACAAATGTGAGTGTCCTCTGGCTTTCGTGCTGTTGTGTGCTTGTAGAATGTGTCCCTTTAGGAGGAAGCTAGCTGGGGTTTCACCACGTTGGTCAGGATGGTCTCCGTTGGTCAGGATGGTCTCCGTCTCTTGACCTCGTGATCCGCCTGCCCCAGCCTCCCAAAGTGCTGGGATTACAGTCCTGAACCACCTCACCCGGCCCACTAGCAGTTCTTTAGTGCTAACTTTTCTTGTTAAGAAGGTGGGTTCAGCAGTTGAACCCTGAAATAATCCTTAATTTGATTATTTTAAAATGGTTATAGTTTCTAGTTTTCCTGCTCAGAAAACTTGAGGTACATTAATTTTATTTTAAATATCACATGATTCTTGGATTATTGTAAATGCTAGATTGTTAGTCTGAATTAGTTTTATTTTGTACCTTGTTTCTGTACAATGAAAACACATCCCTTCTTGCCTAAAAGAAATGGCAAGTTGTGTCTTGTGGAATTCAATAGTGTAGTATCATTTTATTTGATTCAAGTAGTGTGTGGATAATACTCTGGATAGCCTCACACTTTTACTTCTTTTCAGGGTGTGGCCTTTAGAGAAGAGGCATACAGCTATAGGAATAATTGGTTACCTTAAATAAAACCAATAAAATTAGCAAGGTAGTGTCACAAGTGCAGTCAGCAGTAAGTAGTACTAAATTTAAATGAGAATAGTTCTGATTAAATATTTGAATATAAATTTAAGGGGGGAAAAATTTGGCAGATACTTCTAAGTGGGTAGCAGGCAGCATTCCTGCATTTTGTATAATTAAACACTTAATCTTGCAAGGTAAAAGTGGCTTATTTTACAGCTCGGGGAGAGTTTGGCACTCCTACTAGCTTCTTAATAACTACCAAGAAGTTCATTAGGTGTTTATTTCAATCCTGACCTTCATTAGGAAGGTCAGTATTGACAAGGTCAGGATTGAGATTAAAACCCAGCAGAGGGTCCCTTTTAGTTGTCAGTGGGCTTTTGAAAAGTTGAGCATTCAGTTAATTGGTTTGGTTGGAATGTGGCTAGGATTTGGAAGAGAATGTAAATGTAAATTGAATTTGTCCCTTAAACAAGGATAGAATTCAATAAAATGGAGCGCATGATTCCTTGTACTCTAGATAGTAGGGGTAAGACTTTTCTTCCCCTTTCGGAAAAAGGAAGGAAGCCACAGTCCTGATTGCTGCTTTTTGATTTGATAAATGCAAAGAGGATGGTGTTTCTTCAATATTCAGTAGTATCCTTAGATCAGTGTATTTTTTGATACCCACAACTACAGAAGGGAGTAGAAAAAAAAATCCTTTTAATCTAGCTAGGGTTGATGTTTACCTGGGAAGTCTTGGCCAAGCCTGCCTGTGTTTGCTGCCTACATCGGAGATCCCACTTGCCAGCAGCCTGTGTGAGCCCATGCTTGATTGTGCCCACAGAGCCATTTCTCTAATTGTTCTTCAGCTTTTCATCTTTTTCTTCTTTGATGCTTCTTTGCCTCTGCATTTTGAAACTATATTTGAGCATAGTTGCATGCAGTCCTGGATATATTGCTAAACGTTGTTTCTGGTTATCTTCTTGAACAGCAATTTCCTGAGCATGGTCTGTACTCTAGCAGTGCTTGCAGAGGGTTAGTGTCATTGTGAGTTGGAGTCTACTGCCACATTGCCAGAGTTCAGATCTTGGCTCTGTTACTTCTTTCTTTTATGGTCCTGGAGACCTACAGTAAGCCAGGTGTTTATTTCACCATTGTATTCCTTGTTTGAATTAACTGTAAATAGAGGTAACTACCACAGACTATAGCACAGGCTCTTAGCTTTGTGCCTGGCATAGTGAGTGCCATGGCATTCATTGTGTTGGTGGTCAAGTTTTTTTGTTTTTTTTTTTTTTGTTTGTTTGTTTGTTTGTTTGTTTTTTGAGACGGAGTTTCGCTCTTGTTACCCAGGCTGGAGTGCAATGGCGCGATCTCGGCTCACCGCAACCTCCGTCTCCTGGGTTCAGGCAATTCTCCTGCCTCAGCCTCCTGGGTAGCTGGGATTACAGGCACGCGCCACCATGCCCAGCCAATTTTTTTTGTATTTTTAGTAGAGACGAGGTTTCATCATGTTGACCAGGATGGTCTCGATCTCTTGACCTCGTGATCCACCCGCCTCGGCCTCCCATAGTGCTGGGATTACAGGCTTGAGCCACCGCGCCTGGCCCATGGTGGTCAAGTTTTAACTATTTTTTCGATTTTTGTCACCATGGGCAGTGCTTAAAATGAAGTGAAGTAATAATAGTTTATTTTTCTTTTCTGTCTTCATTTTTTTTTTTCTTGTGTTGGAATAAACTCTTGTGTGTACTTTCCATCATCTTCTTTCCCTAAATGGAGTATGGGAAAAACAGTCTGATGCGCTTTAAGTTCTCATTTTTGATACATCTTGATGCCAAGCCCTCTTTATATGTCTCACTTCAGTGTGGCCATTTTGGACTCCTAAGCTAAAGGAGAGCTGAGCATAAATGTAAACGTGAGGACCAAATGGCAGGTGACTTATAAGCAAATGACTGGAAATCATATTCTACCTGGAGACTGATGGAGCTGACTTGTGACTCACTTTGCTATAAAAAATTATTACTGAGTTTGAGACTTTGTTCAAAATACCTTAGTATGGATTACAGTGAGAGACCCTAAGCATTAAATTATATTTAACTTTTCCAGCCTGTAATCCCAGCACTT